GGGACCATATTTATGGCGGAATGGTGGCGTATGAAGATATCTTCTTTCTGCCTCTCAAAATTATTATAGATTGTGTATAAAACAATTTGAACTTACATTTACACAATATAATCAAAGATTTTCAAATTTTTAAGTGCAAGATAAATCAACAATAAGGACTAAACTGTCAAATTTCATGTAACTATATCATTTTCTTTTAAGTCCATACTAATTATTTTTTCTCTTTTTGTAAACGATCAAAACTAGACTATTTAATTTTTTTTGTATCTTTATGTGATAACTTTACTACATGTGAAAATAAGAAAAATTCAAATATAAGAAGCTCATTAGGAATAGTAGAGAAAATATGCAATTTAGTTAAATTACTTTTGTCAAATTGGTAATATCATCTTATAGCCCCTATTTGGTACATGTAGTATCATTTTATGCAACAAAAAAAAATCAATCTCTTGAAATGGAAGTAGGGACCCTATGAAAGGCTACAGTAATTGTTTATTCTTTATGTCCAGGGAAAATATTATGACCTTGAATTGACCTTGCCTCTAATATAATCTCACTCACACCATCACTTCATGATATTGTCTCTGATTCTTTGAAAATGTCATTAATCTTCAAATACAACAAATTGGAGAAGAAACCTACATTAAACTACTTATAGATATATAATTTTCAACTTTAGTACCTACGAATAAGTATTATTAAAGGTGAATCAAATTATATGGTTCTTAAAAAATAGAAATTAAATTCCTAAAGCAGCAAAAACAGATCAGTTTAAACCACTGGTACGTTGTTTTATGGTTACACTGCAAAGAACTGTAACAATTTATCCCATTTAAAAAAAATGTTTTTGGCATTGCAAGGATGTATATTTGCCAGTAGTGGATTTTCACTTTTCCTCAAGATGAAATATATTTGACTAGATAACGAGAAGTATTCAAGCTAAGAAAAGTCCACAAAACAATGCAAATTGAGGAGTAGAGCAAACACGGACCTACAAAACATCAGAAGTACCTGTAGGATTAGGTGCTTTGAAAGACTTAGTATCCTCTGGCACACCCGCCGTATGCTCCTTATTATTATTGGGAAATAAAGGAAAATTCCTTGAACAAATAATTGTGTAATTTCTTCACATTGATGCATAAATTAAAAGGTAAAGTGTCTTGACGATTGAAAATTTAAAGTCATCAAGTTTCTTTTAAATCTTTGTACTTAGCTTACCATCAACGTCCTTCTCTAGTAAAATATCCAAATATGAAACAGATGTGCCAGACTCTGTGGTGTCTTTTACTTCAAGCTCAAAGGGATATATCGTATCGACATTTTACGTTTAAAATTTTGAACAAATTTTACAAATTTTATATTCAGACCGTTTTGTATTCATATGAATACAAAACGGTTTGTAAATAGCTGTGCGCATTATTGTATTCATGGAAATTCCAGTAGACTGTTGGAAGACCTAGTCTCGAAAAACAAGATATATATTGTCAACATGGTCAATTAGAAACTGTCTTTTTAATATCAACTTCAGAGTACTTGAATGTACAATCACATATTTTAAAAAATTGCAAATGACCAATGACAAGTTAAGAAGAATTACGAATTCCGTTCTTATTGGAAAATAACTGTCAATGATATAAAAAAATTGGACATTAATTTATTGTGGGAATTGTCATAAATACATAAAGTGGACAAATCGTGTACATTTTCATGTTGTTGATTTTGGTAAAATTTTGTGATTTCAAAATTTCCAAGAGTTCCTTAGAATTTTTAAGTATCCACATCAGATTAACTCGTTCTCAAATATATTTTTACACAGTACTTTAGACTTGGGATGGTTACCCAGAGCACAGCAAGATTTATAAAAAAAAAGTTATATATCGCTTTATTTGTATTTTGTAAAATTCTATGGAAATCTGGATGACTTTTACATTTTGAGTTTTACAATAGTAATAACTGTATATCTCGAAATGGCTGAGAAATCGAGATCAGAATCTTTTAAGACGGGATCGGCATTGTTCGAAAAAGAGACGTTTTCAGAAAAGGTGAGCAGAGAGCAGTGATAAACTTTTGCGTAGACATCGGAAAAACACCAACAGAGACTCATAAATGCTGTAAACATGCAGTCGGGAAAATATAATAAAGGAAGCTGTTCTTTAGTATTTAAGTGGCAGTTAGAATTTTCGGACGGTAGGAACAGTGTACGAGGGCTGTTCAATAAATAATGTCCTCGGTGCTCAGAAAGAAGCAAACGACGCTTTTCAATGACTTAGTCTTTATGATTTTACTTATTAATCTCTTAATTCAAACACATATCCGTAACATCTTTTATCCAATTTCTGATTGGTTTTAGAACTAATTTTTGGGTATGACCCTTAGTATACTGGAAAATGGCAGATCCAATGATTTCCTGGACTTGTTTTTTCCTTCTAAAAAGTTTTTTTTTCAAGTTTGGTAATAGAAAGAAGTCAAAAGGTCAAAGATCTTGCAAATATTGTTAATGTGAAAAAAACAATAACTTTCTGTTTATCCCGAAAACCCCTTTACTCTTCAGGGCATGCGGGTTTGGACGCTGTCATGAAGAAATTCAATGTAGTGGATTCCTGATTCTGGGTCCTTCCTCTAATAAACCGTTCGATGTTTTTGCAAAAGAATTGCTTTCTATTCTTCTCCAGATATTGAACTGTCTTCCCGAATACGAACTTGAACAACAATATCTTTGCTTTTGTCAGACCCTCGCCGTTTTTATCAAGTACATCTTATGGTAAATTTTGTTTTGATGATTTTAAGGATATCCGATCCTCAGCCAGGAAGGCTAACTCTTTAATTTACAATTTAATTCAAAAGTCTTTAAATAAAGCTTGAAATTGAAATTTTTTTATGCAACAATTTTCACTTTATGCCTCTTCATATGATTCAATGTTCTTTAAAATTTAAACAAACGGTTTTAAAAAAGTTGATTTTTGTACCTCATAAAACTAAGAAAAACTTGCATATTTAAAAAAAAAATGAAAGTTCTTTTTATTTAGCCTTAGTTACCAATGTTTTTAAGCATGATTTGAAATTAGAAGTGATTTGCATGATTTGAAATTAAAAGTGATTTACAGTGTTTTCTTTGAAAGGAAACACTTCATACACTATACATTATGAAACAATGGAAGTAAGTAGGAGAAAGTAAAGTACCGAATAAGTATAAAAATCATGCAATTTTCTTTAAAAGCCTGGATACCTATGATTTTTTATTCCTAAAATGTATTTCTTGATCAATTATCAATTAGAAAATATGCAGGAGGTAGTTCTAATCGCATTTCCTGAAAAATTATTTGAAATTTACTAATTTTCCCTGTATAAAATGATTGAATTTAAAGGAGAAGTTAAAAAAAAATGGGTAAATACATTTTACTTTGAGAATTTAGAGACATCTTTGTGAGCATTTTCAATTACTCAATGCCTGATTTTCAGAACCTGAGGATCGGATAACCTTAAGCAATAGATTCAAATTCGATTATCTGTTTGAATGTTAAAAAAACGTGGAAACTACAAATACTGATATTTTAAAATAATTGTTTAGGCATTCCTACACGCTGTCGTTTTCACTCATTTTAAAAATAAAGGGTAATCTTTGAGTACCAATCTTTTTTTTTTTTTTTCAAACGTTTCGTTAAAACAGTGTAAATTACTCCCGATATGATGTCTATCAAATTTGCTATGTGTCTTAAAGTCAATCATACATCATCAAATATTATTTGTTGAAATTTGGCAAACAGTACATAAGTTGTTATAATTTTTGTTGTCAAGGAGGGTACCCATTTTTGATGCCCATTATATAATTTTTTATTATTGAAATCCACCTGCTCATTTGTCTATAAAACAGGCATCAGTTGTTGTAAATTTCACATCTTTCAGTGAATATTTCTTTGGGATTTTTAACAAGTTTTACAGCAGCTTTAATGTAGCCTTTATTTTCACTCTAGTTTACTGATTCTTTACCATTCATTTATAATGCACTGTCTCGAATAGCCCTTGTTTCCCAGCTTCTCACGATGAAACTATGTGATGAAAAGTTGTCACATAAACTGTTATAAATTCAGTAAAGATTCAATAATGACAGAAAGTCAAGTTTAATGTCATATGATATCTGTATTGTATGTCTTACAGTTCAGGACATTATTTATTTAACTACCCTCGTAGTTTTAATGACAAGTTAATGCGACATATAAAAAATGTATAGAATTAAACGGTGACTGCGTTGAAAAAAAGTAACACATATTAAGCTTTGACGTCAAGTGACGTCGAGGACTTCCGTTTAAGTGCTTCGGGAATGAATGTGTGTCTTCTTCGTATCTGATAAAAGTATATCAATTTGTGCTTTGCTTATTAATAAAATGAAACATGAATTTAATGAAAATAATAGTTTCATATAATTTATCAATTTTTGTTAGTGATTATCAATGTTGTTCACGAAGTTTACGGACAACTGTCGTATCTCTGTAAGGGTTTTTATGAAAATTTTTTAATCCAATATAGACATGGTACATGTATATGTAACTGAAATTCTTTTTGGTTATTGGGAATATACAAAATATTCAAAACTGACATATGATTTTGAAGACTTTACCCCTTAGAAAGCCCAATCTCTGTAATGTAATTTGCTTGGTAACACTCTGTTACCATGACAACCAGGACATTTATATATAGTAATAATTTACTATTATAACCTTAGATAAACATTCTGACCGAAATTAAATCCACACTATGCTGAAAGATTTCATCTAAATTTAGTAGTTTTGAAGCAGTTGTTCTTAAAAAAAAAGATTTTTGAGTAGAAAATATAAAAAAGTAAAGCACATGTATTTGTGTTAGTATGTTTTAATTCATAGAAAGATGGCCGAATATGACATCTATGAACATTTGATATTTTCCCTTAAATGATGTTAAACTAAAAGATTGGAAAAAAATGTGATGAAAAATATACAAATTTTGTATCTTCTTCAAAGGATAAGCTGGAAGGCTATTCATTCCCCGTGTACAACACAACGTCATGTCCCAGGAACCTATCAGAATGGTATATTAGGTCATCTGACCTCAACTGTACACAGAGTAATGGATACATGTGTATACCTAACGAGAACATTACACAGCTGTTGGAGTTCTGCTACAGATATTTAAGGATTCCAATTGAAAAGGGTAAAACAAATAACTGGCAATTTAATCTTATTTTAGGAGAATTTAGAGCTTAACTTTGATAGCATTATTAAATCATTGATAATTATGATGTAAAGTTCAGTATACTAATTGAATCCTTGTAATTCGATGTGATGCTACATTTGTATGTGAAAACATGTTTTTTATCTCTACTGGTCAGCGACCAGAAGAATTTATGCACTAGTAGTATGTGTCTGTCGTTCGTCTCTCTGTTTGTGTGTAAACAATTTCTCAAAATGCTTCTCCTTTTTGCGGTTTTGATTTCGATGAACAGTGTTGCCATGGTTACTTAAAATAGTACATGCAACTTCTGTGAAATTCTTTGAAACTGCTACTGAAAAAAAACAGTCTGATTGTAATGAAATGCGGCATGTAAGTACTCTACACTGTGATACATCATTGTCGAAGTTTTTTTTTTATCTTGATGCACGATATTGCCATATTAACTTAAATTGAATTTTGTTTTTAATTTTATTATAAGCGAATCCTATAGTTGTAGTTTTTTTGCAACCTTGCCACAAAAAGAGACCTAATAAAGGATCATGATTATTTAATTCATTGCTGCTACTTTTCTCTTCCTTTGTTATAAGTACAAACCAGTGTAAACAGAGAATTCCGTTTTTTTAATTGTCTCACGACATTTCTTTATTTATAATTTATAATGATAATACATCTAAAACATTATAGAATAAAACATTTTCTTTTAGACATCTGCTTGATTCTAAAGAAATCAACGTCCCTTGTTGAAGCCTACAGCTGCAAACAATTTAGAAATGGGTGTCCAGATAAGCAGTACTGGAGTAATGAAATCTTTAAATGTGCGTATTACACGTATAATAAAAATCATGTTTTTCTTAAATTAAAGTATATAATATTGCTTTTCAAAATTAAAAAGATTTAAGGTACTGTGAAATCGCTTATTTTCATGGGAGTTTAATTTTCTTTGTTTTCGAGGTATGAACACAACGAAATGTAAAATTTGATATGTATTACTACTACACATTTATCCACCCACGGTTTCAAATCCCCACAAACCAATACTTTTTCCTCGAACCTCGAAAATTTGACCCCACGAAAATATGTTATTTTACAGTATTTCAGTAAATATTGACTGCTAATCCAACTTCTTATTATCATTGAATTTTATGAAAAATAATGCTATGACGCTATAAAAAAAGCACTGCAATCAATTACAGTACAGAAATCACTTTGATATTAAAAAATAATATTAATAATAATAATAATAATAATAATAATAATAATAATACTTTATTTAAAGAGGGTGACCCGATTAGTGCAATGCACTAGTCTTCCTCGGGGCCCTCTAAGCATGTTCACAATAATACAATAATGAAATCATTGTACAATAATAAATAATACAACATGACGTAAAAATACAAGTACATATAGATTTCAGGAGATTTTAGCTGCGGCATGTTATTATGACTTTTTCTACATTTTTACGAAATATGTGTAAATTCTGTGAAAAACGTATGTACAAAGGTAGTTTGTTCCATAAATGAACACCGGAATAATGAAAAGAATTTTTAAATTGATTTGTTCGATATTTCGGTAGATGAAGGTCATAGTTTGTTTCAGATCATAGAGCTTAACTACTAGAAGAAATAAATTCAAAAGAGTCTCTTAAATAAGTAGGTGCCATACCATGAAGTGTTTTGTACAGTAATATATATTTATGAAAATCAATCAACTCGTAAATAGTCAGCCATCCAAGTTTTTCGAATAATGGTAGTGAAGGGGCATCATAAGCCACATCTAGTATAATACGGGCTGCCCTTTTTTGCAATTTAAAAACTCTATCTATGCCAGCACCTGGCGCATTACCCCAAATAGTTAGGCAATAATTCAAGGAGGGCAGAATGTATGCATTATAGAATAGTTTTCTTGTGTGTAAGGGGAGGAATTTTTTAATTTTGCGCAACGTATATAATTTATATGTCAAAGATTTACAAACTGAGTCAATATGGTGATTCTAGCGCAATGAACCATCAATATGCACTCCCAGAAGTTTTAATTTAAAAAAAAATATCTGTAAAAAACAAAACTGACTTATTCTGAATACGTATACTTATGACTTAATGTTAATTATATGATATGTTTTCGAAAGGTTTTTATTTTTTTTATATTATTGAATAATTTCATTTAAAGATCCAAGTTGTCTAGCTATTGGAAATAGATGTTTTCTTGATGAGCCTCTGTGTAAAAATGAAGGGTATGTGAATATATCAAAATAATAAATAAAAAATCATATTATAACTCACAGATTATTTCACTAGACTTTGTTAAACTTCAGTTCTATTTCATATCGAAAAGTGTCAAAGGTAAAGAAACCCCCTACTTCTAACATTTCATATCAATGTAAAAAAAACAAAACTTTTGTTCAAAGGTAAGTTAGAGATAATTACCTTACATACATTTTCATAATTAAAGCTCAAAGATCACATAATCGTAAGAAGGTCCTGTAATATGATAGTTCTTAGGAAGTACAAAATATACAGGATATACTTATTTACAATTCACGCAGGTTCAATTAGAATTATAATGTTTTTTTTTTGCTTTTGAATAGAATTGCTTCCATTGGAACTTCAGAAACTCAAGGTACAACACACGTCGACTTGGGATCGACCATTTTGAATACAGGTTTAGGAAAAAAACCCATCCCAGATATCGATGGAACTAATACATGGGTTTGGATCCTTGTAATAGGAGTATTTCTGATAATAGTATTCACACTAGTATGTGTGCTTATATTCATCTTCAGAAGAGGAAATCAGAAGACTTTGAGCGGTAAAGACTTTTGCATAAATATATACTGAATATATTTTTCTGACATATAATAAAATAGAATAATTAGTCATTAATAGAAGTTTCTAACAAATATTTCTACCTCAGATATTTATTTTGTTAAACACAAATAAAGAAATTTGAACACCATTAACTGACACTAATGGACGAAAAAAGTGCTGAGAATCCCAAATTTTACTGAGAAAGTTTGATAATTACTGATACTGTGCTGTTGTTGCTGATAAATACTGATATTTACTGTTATTATTACTGTTGTTGCTGATATCTTTTGTTGTTTCTGATAAATACTGATAATTACTGTTTCCTTTTACTGTTGAGTCTGATAAATACTGATAAATACTGTTGAGGTACTGTCGTTGCTGAGAATTGCTGATAATTACTGTTGAGGTACTGTCGATGCTGAGATTTACTGATAATTACTGTGGTCATTGTTTTTAACCTGGTAATTGGTTTAAAATAAAACAGAGGGCTATAAAAACCTTCAATTATTACTTTTTTTTTTACTTGAATTGTCATGGCAAAATTTTCGTATATTTTTTTTTAAAATGTTCCGCTTGTGGCAAGATTACATGACTGTATGTATGTATGCTGATCTCAATTTCTACATTACGTTAACTTTGTGAAAATTTTGACAATAATCAAATGAATTATCAATAGAATGAATATATAGAAATAGAATTAATAAAAAAAAATTAACTGCAGAAAAAAAATGGAATTTTACTTTTGCATAAGATCTTATTGAAAAATAAACTGTAAATAAAAAGAAAATTATGCTATCTTAAAAAAGATCAATCGCCGCCTTTCCCGACTCCAAGAAAATTATGTAGGGAGATCGATGAACTTTTTTTTTCAATAATAAAGAAAAAAAAATCTTAATGGATGGGAAAAAATCGGGATAAAAAAAGTTTCCTGCAGGTTAGAAAAGTTGGATTTGTTCCGTTTTCACTAGGTCAACTGGTCGAGTTTTTGACAACATTTTGTTTTGTTTTTTCTCGTAAACAATCATAGAGAAAAATAATTATATTCATCTTGTTAAGTGTTCAGTTTTCTGGTCTCTTTTCGTCGAAATATTTGAAAATTTGCTCGAAAATTAGAAATTTTATCCCTTTTAAAAAGTAACTAAGAGGTAAAAAAACAGGTTTGAATATGTTCAATCTGTGGGCACTGATTTTAATTAATAATCTATTTATTTATTCATTTATTTTAATGTTATGTAGACGTTTGTAGATCGTCCAAGAATTAAACTCCTCCACATGTACATATGTACAAGTACACACTGTATGCATGTGTAACCGGCAAATGGGGTGAGCTGATTAAAAATTAGAGGTTAAGAATCCCTAGTATAAAGGTACATGTGTTTAGTTTGTCTCTTAAAATTTAAATACAAAATCATTTTTTATTTAATCAGTTTTGAAATATCATTAATTTTTTTAATTTGATTTTATGGAATGGGAAATAAGAACTGAAATGAGACTTAATTTAATATGTTACTATTAGTATATGATCAAATTGATCGATTTTAATTTTGCATGGTAAAAAGTTGAAAGGAAATCACCTTTAAATTGATTTCAATTGATCAGAAATCGGTGATCGACCTGTGATTTGGCTGTATTGTGTACATGTCTTCAGCCCCGGGGTAGAACGGGGTACAACTTGTATATCCCATGCAAATTGTAGTGGTCAGCGTAACAATGGGCACTAATTACCTATTGTTCTTCGTCTGCGGCTACCGGTGTTTTCAATAAACAGACTACGTACACTGTACATGTACTCTCTACTTTGGAACAATCTTAAAGTTTATGGTCGCGCGAAAAAAAAATTCCATAATATTGAATTTGATGACGAATAAAGATGATAGAAAAAATATTTAGAATAGAACACTTTGGTACTATAATGAAAAAAAAGATACATACATGTACATCAAGTACGTTGTACAGACTTATTTCCATTATTATTTCAATTCTCAAAGATCTATCTTCTTCAGTATTTAATTTCATTTTTTAGTTTTACGCATATTTCTTCAATCAATCAATCATTTATTTGAATCTTTTTACCATTTTACTTTAGTATACATAGACCACAAAAAACATAAAAAATTTAGGTGATTTTATACAAAACAGTAGGTCTAAAAGGCATGCGTGAATAAGAAACTAAACAAAAAAAATGTAGGTTGCTATAATTAAATGCGAAGTAAGGGAATTTAGGCCGGGGAGTAAATTTTGTTTATCAGATAAAAGAATATCCCGGGGGAGGTGGTCACATGTATTTTCAATTCTGAATTCTGAATCTCTGCTAACGATGGTTTGGGACCGGTAAATACGTAGACGAGAAATTGACTTCTCTTTTAATTGAAAAAAAAGTGTGCAAAATATACAATCATATAAATATAAAGAGAAAGATTGTTTAGTGAAGCACTTTTTTGAAATTATATTAGCATTAATTGTTCACAATTCAGATGCAGGAAAACTCCACTTCGCTTAATCCGAGGAAAAAAAACCTTAAATGTATGAATTTTGCCAGAAACATGACGTTGTGTATCGCACTCATTAATAAATGTTATAATTACTTCAGTTCTGAATTTTGTATGGTTCATTGCAATTGTTTCTCTAAAATAATTTTATTCATGCATAAAAAAATTCGATAAGTATAATATCATAACTTGCATGACTTTTAAAACACACAACTAAAGAACAGACCTTGCCCTATCGGCTATCACTTAATTGTAATGGTAATTCTCAGCAGCGACAGTACCTCAACAGTATTTATCAGTATTTATCAGACTCCACAGTAAAAGACGACAGTAATTATCAGTATTTATCAGCAACAACTAAAATTATCAGCAACAACAGTAATAATTACAGTAAATATCAGTAATTATCAGCAAGAACAGCACCGTATCAGTAATTATCAAACATTATCAGTAAAATTTGGGATTCTCAGCACTTTTTTCGTCCAGTAGTGTGAAGTTGAATTAATTTCGTTTGCACATTCTTAGTGGGTTTCAACATTTTAGTTTATCAAATTAATAGAGTAGCTAACTTTAAAACAAAGGTATGAGGACGTATTTGGTTGTTTTATTAACACACTCGTCTAATTAAACTGAATATTATTTGATGCGTCTAAAATTCAAACGTGTACTTTTATTGATAGCACGTTTGTCAATAACGGAAATAACAAAAAGAATATAGTTTAAATTGACACTAAAATCATTCTGTATTTTGTCCTTTCATTCCATTTTTTCTTTTTTAAATATAGAGGGGCACAAGGAAGAGGAGACAATTCCCCTTAAAATGGACAGATCGGGAGAAAGAGGAAATTGTAACATGGGTAAATGTTACTTTCATGTCTTTTACTTTATAAAATTGTGAATGTAAACTACAATATTCACATTTGCTCTGTTTTTCTACAAAGCCGACTGTGAAATTGATTTGAATAGCATTTTCGTGTATACTCATGCGTAGAAATATACAAGGAGAAACATGCGTTAACGTGAAGTCACAATGATGTTCCAGCGGCGTTAGTAAAAATGCAAGGATATAAGGAAGCAAGGAATTCAAATATTGAGTAAATTTAAGATGCTCCAAAATGTAAAATGTAAATATAGAGATTTTTTGAAAAATGATTTGTATGCATTGTTGGTGTAAGAATACGTAATCATATTTTTTTAAATAAACTTTTTATTTATGTTTTATTTAAGTATGCCGACTTGACAAGTCTGTGTGATACATACAAAACGTAAAAACATTCCTTAAATAACTTTAGAAGATGCCTGTGCTTTAGGAAGGATATGGAGATAACGAACAGTATTCAGTATCAAGGTCCATAGAATAATTCAAAATAGGAGCAGAGCAAACAGGGACCTCCGAAACATCAGAGGTGGGATCAGGTGCCATATAGGAGTAGCATCCCCTGCTGACCAGTCACACTCGCCGTTTGCACCTTGTCATGATCGGAAAATAACAGAAAAATCCGCCGTCAATTCAGTGTATAAATAATGTACGAACAATTGGTATGAAAAACGTCAGTCAGCACTTGTCTCAATGATAAATTGTATTTGCTCACAAGGTCATTGTAATGACGAAATGATGACTTTAAACGAGACTGTTGATATTCTTGTTCATTAACTTCACCCCTACTAATGTTTTCGGAACTTTTTTTTATTTTTCGGTGCTCTGCAAAATATAAAACCCGATGAGTTCAGAGTAGCTCTGGCAGTGGCTCTGGCGAGAGTTAGCGAGACTACAGCGAGATAGGGTAAATTATTCACGGAAATGTGCCTAGGAAGTGACTAGCACGTGGAGACATGGTAAACAGAAAAGATATGTTGCGTTTCAGTTTTCACCACCCTATATCTGTAGAAATGTACTTCAATCGATCCCTCTTGAATTTATTCAAACTTAAATAAGCATTTTCTATGATACAATTTTCTGCAGTGACTCTGTCATGAATTAGAATAATCTTTTTGGGCAAATATTTTTGCGTGGGAACCATGACTATATTTTTTGGCGTCAGATTAGCAAATGAGGCACCAACATGACTTTAACTGACCAATCAGCTGAATGAGAATTGCATTATGGGTTACTACAAATACTACAGGAATTTTACGCTTGAAAGAGAAGAAAAATCTTATGGCGATCGGAAAGAAACAAAGACCATTTTTTTTCCATCCATCTCGTGAATGAAAAGCATTTTTTATTAATTCTTTTATTTCCATGCTCACAATGACAAAGAATTCATTTGTTATATAAACTGTGGAAGTCTAGGTTTCTCAAAGTCATACTGCAAAGCGATTTGCGTCTGTATTAATTCCTTTGTTGTACTATCGGTGAATACAATTGTCAGGTGGATTCCCTGGTCATGGCCACTAGTATGTAAAAAATGTTTTGTCCATTTAAATGCATGAGATGCTGCTCGCTACCCTTGAAGCGCTGGTGTTCTGAACTTGACACAAACTACATTTTATTACACATAATTATTTTTAGTTACCAAAATATTAAAAAATGCCCGTTAAAACTTTTTAAGTATCTAATCTTTGTATTTTGTTCATAAGAACATTTTTTTATTTTACGCTCCATTGACACGAACATAAATTGACCTGAGACACGTGTTCGAAGTAAAATGTAAACATATTTTGGAATAAACGTTGCAATTCAATGATTGGTCAGTTGCTCGTGGTAAGATCCTCTGTGCGCATGAATAACAATTACCATATAAGGCAAACAAAGGTTTGTGTGTGTAGATGATATTACACATTTTTTTAGACAGCGTATCGGCCGCTTTCGCCGTAAATGATATGATATATTGTTATTTTAACCCCCTCCCCCATTAGTCACCCGTTTCTATTGAAAATCATGAAAGTCTTTCAGAAAGGTCTTGAAACACATTTTTTACAGGACATGCTTTCAAAAGAAACAGTCTATAGCAATTTCCTGTTTGCTGCCAATTTTATTTATAAAACCGGTTCTGCTCTATAACCTTTGAATAGGTCAACCTAAACCACGTGGCTTGAATTCAAATCACAATAACAATAGTAGGGTTGAACTTGCTTGTCAATAATTTACCTCATTTTAGAAATTGTTCATACGTTGCATTTGCATATCGAATCAACTGTGATACATTCATTCTGTATGCAGGTGAAGAAGGTATATTGCTTCATTATAAGCAAGGGAAGTTAACGATAGAAAAGTTAAAGTCATCACGTTTATCATATAGCGTGGTTGTTAGATTACCATTAACGTCTTTTTCAAGTAAAATATCCAAGTATGAAACAGATGTGTCAGACTCTATAGTATCTTTTATCTCAAGTTCACCAGGATATATCGTATCGACGTAGGAATGGGAATGACCATTGTTAATTGACAATACTTCGTCGATATATGTAAATGTCGTGTTGAAGGCCACAGCAAGTGTTTTCTTCTTTTCATGCACTAGATTTTGCACAAATTCTGCTTCATATGAATATAAAAATAGGTCGGCTAATAACGGAGCGCATTTGGTACCCCTGGGAATCCCAATAGATAGCGCTAACTTATTCCAAATATCATATTTTCTCGCTGCCTTATATCGTGATACTTAAATTTTAATTAATGTCTCTGTAGCCCCACTGTGATGTCACTTTAGCGCGAATTTTTCTGTGTATATTTCTACGCGTGAGTATAAAACAGAATAGCATTCAAATCAATTTTATAATTAGTTATGAGAAAAACACGGCAAATGTAAATATTATTTTTGCAGAAACATCTTGCTTAAATTTTACTGATGTATATTGCCATGTTTTAATTATGGTTTAGAAAGTGATGTAAGAAAGGTGTTTCTTTTCACAATGATCACATAATTATTCTATATTATTTGGTGTTATAGTAATGCTCCGCCTTTCTGTGCCTTTTTTAAATGACATCTTATTTAATCATAAACAAGATAGCATAGTACCTGTTTATCTTACCGGATTTGACTTCTGTTACATCAAGTCAATGTGAAGGAAATTAAAAGAAAATTGAAGATGAGAATGTTAATAGTTTCTATTACAGTGGAACCTCATTTATACGGACGCTTTGGTTCCTAGACAATTTGTCCGAATATGTGAAGCGTCCGGATATTTGAATTAGCAGTTAAACAAGAACAAGTAACATTAAAAAATTCTGTTCCGAGGAAAAGTCGTCCGGATACTGAAGCATCCAGATATCTGAGGGTCCACTGTATATGTATTATAATCTGATACAATAAATGCATAAACTTAACAATTAATTTTATTTGTAGAAAAAATTCCACTCATAGAATATGAAGAGGAAATACAGGAAAGTGAAGGTAACCAAGAAATGAATGATGAGTCTTTACTTTTGTCTGCAAATACAAAAACCCTGGGCAAAGAAAATAGTTTTGGAGAAAGATCTACATGTTGGTTATTTTTTAATTAATATTTAATTTAATATAATTAATATTCATAAATGAATATAATAAGAATTAATAATTCTTTTTTTACTAATGATTACGGTTTATTAAATAATGAATATATAATGTTTAAGAAAAAAAGCATTTTCATGTGTATGTTTCACCCTAGATTTCATAATCATAACTGGATACTTTATTATATATTCGGAAAGTCTGTTACATGTAATACATGTATGTACATAAGCCAACTAACAAATTCAGTAATTTGAATCAGCTGAATATGCTTCTAAAATAAACCTGTGAATATATCAATAGTCTTCTTAAGTGAAAGTTTCCCCCAATAGGTGAAACAAACAGAGAACAATTTGGGGAAGAGCAAGGAGAAAAAACGTATATTCACCGTAAATCCTTTTTAGATTGTGTAGTGGAAAACCAGGACGAAATACTATGTTTAGATGAGACCAGGAAATCAGACTCTTCAAAGGAAGACAATAGCAAAGAAGAAAACTCCCCATTGGATAAAGACGTTTCAGACAAGATAAACAGTAATTTAAATCATCAGGAGGATAGTGATAGAGACATTTCAGTAAAGCTTGATAGAGGTGAGATATTGGGAATTCATATTTCAGACTAAGTGTTCTTGAAATAGTTTTCTCTAGTTTCTGACTAGATGAAATATGCAACGTATTTACTTATATGATTTATATATCAACGTGTAAGAGATTTAAAATATCGTATTTTTCTTTCCTCATCAACGTTTTACAACTTTAATTAGAAATTGTAAACTGCTGTTTAAAACTAACAGGGGCTATATTTTTGGCGGAATGATGGCGTATGAAAATATCTTCTATTCTGCCTCTCAAAATATGTATAGAACACTGAATTTAGTTTAAATTTTTACATAATCAAAGACTTGATTTTTTTTTAAATTGTATGATAAGGTAGTCCAATCCTCAGGTTTATAAAATTTGCAATTAAGTAATTAAAAATACTAATAAAAGTATCTCTGAATCCACAAAATTATGTAAATTCATCCACAGTATTTCTTTAAAGTTAAGATTAAAGTTAATCATATTATTTAGGGAAAATTGTCAAATCTCCGATATTTTTGCAGGATTGGCGAATTTGAATATCAGCAATGCATTTTTTTTTAATTGCAATTAATGTACAAATATGTTTGAGGTTAAAAAACGATAGGTATCTGGCCAGTGGGCATTCAGAGAGATCGTCAAGATTTTTATACTTATTTGGTATTTTTTGTCTTCTATTTCCATCATGTATTCTATAATACATAGACTAAAAGACTTTTGCTATCATTGCAAGACACCACAACTCACTACTTATTCCATATCATGCTAATAAGCATTGGTAGCTAAGGATGGATTCAAGAAAATACTATTCGTTTATTTTATCGATATTGCTCTTTACTGAGTAGACGAACTTTTTGTAATTTTACTTTAAAAAAGTTCGTTTATCTACGTTATTGTTCGTAGTGGTACGGCACTTGCTGCATGTGTAATCCAGAGGTACTGGGTCAATAATCCTTCTCAATGCAGCAATAAACTTGAATTAAGAATATCCCTTCTTTGGTTAGTCTTTTTCAAAGTTTCTCATATAATTATCAAACATTGACCCTTTACTTCCAAAAATAAGAAATTGTTTTTGTTTGTACACAACCAAAAAGATAAATGTGATCTATTTTCAGTTGGTATATATCTTGATGACTATGAAATATGGAAAACAGAGATTTCAGGTAAAGAAATGTTTCATCGTTTGCTATTTTTGTTATTTTAATTAAAATTACATAATTGATTGATTGTATCAGAATGCATATTGTTTAACGGCCGATTCGAGATTTTTTTAACTTATATACTGACTTAACTTTACGCCGGAGATGGGCTCCAAAAGGTTAAAATTACAAAATGATTATACACATTCCAACATACACATACACATTCCATTATCTACTTTTGCTTTCAGCGCTAAGACTCTTAGCATTAATAATGAGTGTTTGATCAAACAGCACCCGTGCATTATGTCTGGAATTATTATATTAGATCTACAAACATTCTTGTATTTTCAAACAAGACTGAAGGAAAATTAAACCTTCTGTTTTGTTCGCATTTTTCATTATTTTGAATAATACCGCATTATCTATGGATTTTTAGACCCAATATTAACACAATTCGGCTTGGTTTGTGACCTTATGGTCTTTTACGAGTAAAGATGGGTATATAGGCGGGTGTTATTACAAAAGAGGTATATGCATTCCCGAGGAATGAGGCTATTGTAATTTATTTGCTCAATTTCAGTGCCTAAAATTATTCAATAGAGGTAAGAATACATTTCTTAAACTTATTCATATTACATGGAAAATATAAATTTGACAGCTTTACTAGTTATTTAATCCTGCGGAAGAACAAACAAATACAGATATATTGATGATTATACACATTCCAACATACACATTATACACATTCCACCATGATCTACTTTTACTTTCAGTGTAGCATCAATCCTAAGACTTTAAGCATTGATAATGGGTGTTCGTTCAACAAGCACCCTTGCATTAACAGTGAAAGTTACAAATGGTTCTTTCGGATGACGCACGAAAGAACCCATGCGAACCAGAGCGCGGCGTGATAGTCTTAATTTTGAAGCCCTTTACCAGTATATGGTTTTGTCTCAGATGAGTAAAAATTCTAACAGGAGATATAAAAAACTGATCCAATCATATTGAAAATAAATATATATACAATATTCGTTTTTCAAAACATATATTGATGAAATGGATCAAGGATATTTTCGCCCAATTGAAAATTTTAAAGTCACATCAAAATTCAGTCGAAGAACCAAGTCTTATTAGAATAGCGCTTTTAAAAATAAATCTCTTTTTGGTTTGAATATGAATATCAATTTCACATCTAAACATGTTTGATGACTACACACAGATAAAAAACTAGTGTTTTGTTTTCAAATATATTTAGCATGTAAGTCAGAAGGCAAGTCAATATAATTACATTTTTGTATTGATGAAATCTTACAGCATGAATAATTCTGTTAAATTTTTTGTAGAAAAATACAAGGAGTTGTCCAATGAAGAACGTGCTGTTTTATTTCTCATTCTGTGCAGCAATAAGAATACCTTTATCCTGGAAAAGACTGAAACATTAACAAAAAGAGAATTAGAAATTATTGGGGCACTAGACGTTTCAAAGAACATAAGTTATAGTATTCAAACATTGCGATCAAAAGGATTTATATCAATAGAGAACGAAAAGGTGACATTTGCCTCAGCTGGTGTTCAAGACGAGACAATGTTTGATTACTTAAACATATGTTGGAAGAGGAGCAAAGTTTGTGGTCAAGAAGAGACCATGTTTAAATACATGTTTGAAGACAACAATTGGGAAATGTTAAGTCAATATGGTTGCTTTATGAATAGACAGTTACTAAATGTGTCACTAGAGAGTTCGATGAAATATTTCAGATCGCGAAATTACCGTAAAGGGAAATTTGTTCGCTTTTTACCAAAAGACAGTAGAAAACGAACTTTATACAATTCGTTTGTTGGAATAGAGAACACCTATGAAGAGATACTAACCAGAATTATTTCTGAGCTTGGAAAAGATATACTTATTTGTGACATCTTGGATGATAAATCGTTGCATTCAACTATTTCAAGTCGGTGTAAGTACCCTTTTCTTTTCATGTTATCTCTTTATTTCTCTCTCTCTCTCTCTCTCTCTTGAAATATACAGGATTGTCTTTGATGATCTTCTTTTCAAAAAATAACAGCATCAGAAAGTGTAGAAGATATGTTAATTATTACTAATGAAATGTAAATTATATAATGTTCAACCCCCTTCAATAGCTGATCAGAGACTAAGATGGGTCAATATACGTTTAACTGCAATATATGGATCCTTGGTTACAGTAAATGTTGGAATTGGTTAAATTTAGATCAAGATTCCCATAATGTACATAATATAGGAAAATAATTTCTTATTCATAGCTGAAATTGCAAACCATGTTAGTCAGATAGAAGAATCCCATTTTGTGTAGATTCAGTAACTTACTTAACCATAATATAAAGGAACATTTTTTCTGGTTTTCTTGTAAAAATAACTATTTAGGAAAAGGAAAAGCAAGCTGAGGTTCATTAGACAAGCGTTCTAACCCATGGGCCCAGTGATTTAAGAGGCAGTCCACCGAAAAACCAGGCAGTATTGTATTGATAGGCGGCACATCGAATGTGAGGAATATTTGATATTTTATTGAAAACAATATCAATGTAGTCCAAAAGGAAAAATGTAATTGAAGATTTGTTTGAAAATTGCTTATTGAGTAAAATATCCTTATATTTTGTGTGTTTGAATTCCCCTATATAAACCATTGAATGTAGGTCAGAAACAAGGAACTGTAATTTCTATTACATTTTTAACAGGACTATAATTAACACTTAACTAAATCTAGAAATATTTCATCTTTTTGTTTAAAATATAAAATTTGTTGGAAAAACACTTTCGATAGTAGTTTTCTGGCAAAATATAAAGACGTTTTTATGAAATTTTGCGATGCAAGAGTTATCTCCCGTGACATCGGTAAATCAGATTAACACCTTTTTATCGGAATCCTAGTAAATATTTAGAATCGATACACTAAAGAAAATTATTAAACAAAAAATAACTAATTTATTTTCAGAATAAAATTCATTTCCGCCTCCAAACGTAAAATTTGGAATTAAATTGGCTCTATTATCCAGGTTAATTTACATAACTACTATTGCGTCACAATGAAATTGTTAAAAGTTTTCCAGAGAAGTTTGTAAATTCTTTGCGTAAAATTGTGAAGAAAAAGATTTTCTGTTTAATTACTCTACAGAGTGCATTATTTTAAATATTAGATAATATTTTTATATCAAAATGTATTTATACACTGGAAGCGTATCAACTAGATGCATGAAAGCAAGCCGTTTTTTTTTTTTATGAATGTCTGAGAACTAATTTTTTTAATGAAGTGTTTATAATGAACATTTCTTATAAAATTGGGAAAACTTGTAAAAACTGGATAAGTTATAAAAGTTATAAGTTATAAAAATATATTTTTGAGTTAAATTACTTCCCACAATAGTTGATGGAAGATGGTTTAGTGAAACATTTGTTTTTTTTTTTAAATTCTATTTATTATTATTTTTTTTATTATTATTTGGAGATTGAAACAATCACACACTCACATTTAATGTGGAGTTAAACATGTGACTATGTTAGCCAATTCAAAAAATGTTTTCACGTTCATGAAACCAGTTTTAAAAAATAACGATGTCATGATCCCCCCCCGTGTTTTTTACTTGCGATTTATGAGCTATTAAATAATGATACTGTATATGAAAGAAATTATTTTCTAATTAAGATAATATTTTATAAAAGATGAAAATATAGGGGGAAAGGCTTTACAGATGTCAGGTAAAAGAAAAATTGGAAAAAGTCGAGACTGTACACATAATTAAAATATGTTCTGTATTTAGTCAAGTTTAATTTCGCCACTGATTGAAATTGACTAAAATTCCTAAGAAAACTAGTTCTAATTGTAACGGGGACCGTTACAGATGTTCCCCAAACGCTCCTCAACTCCCTCTTTGTGCCAATTTCCTTTAAAAAAAATTTAATATGCCCAGTATCGCAGGATTTCATAAAAGAAATTTAAAATTTACAATGATATCAACTTTTAGTCATTTAACGCATTGCACGCAAACGCACGTGAATGCACATGCAAGGTGATCATGGCATGTTGTCTAAACCAATAACATATCTTTATATTCCAAGAATCAATAAAAAGTCAGAAAAATAAAAATGTTACCGTTTTTTCAAATATATTGTTCATTTCACGCATTGCGCTTGCGCAGGTACATGCAAGAGCGTCCTTGCATTCAATTTTGCTAATAGTATCATGTAGGAATCTATTATACCAATTCATATTCTAAATTTCATCCTGTTTTGTAGAAAATTAAGAAAGTTATAGGCATTTAAAGTTTCAGCCAATCAGATTGCAGCACACGTGCATGCGCATGCTTACATGTCAATTCTTATATATCATGCTGTAGATCTTCATAATGTATGACTATGTTCAAAATTTCAAAGGATTATGACAAAAAACAAGAAAGATATTGAGACTTTAGTTTCAGCCAATCAGAGCGAAGTGCACGTGCATGCGCGTCAGATTTTGCTATTTTGACCATGTCGTCTTGTTGATACTACTAATATATCCAGTGCAGTGTGAGTTTCAAAAAATTCCATCAAGAAATAGAAAAGTGAAGGCTTAATCCATTATATTGGTAATTTCACATGTTGCACGTGCGCGCTCTTGCCAGCACACGTGCATGTAAGTGCTTTCATAATAATTCTTATATATCATGCTGTAGATCTCCCTAATATATGACTATGTTCAAAATATCAAAGGATTTTATCAAACCAGAAGTCTCTTTCGAGACTGAAGCTCTACTGGTTTGAACTTAAAGCAAAGGAAGAGAAAAGTACTTAAGCAGCTGGGATATGAAACTTTACAACAGCAATAAATAGAATAATGATCGTTGATAAAGTCTCTTTATGTATCTTAGTGTAGTCTACTTGTGTGCCAAGTTATATTGAAATCAGACCAAAACTGTAGCCAGTAGCATTTAGAAACAATTTTACAGAAATTTCTATTTTTAGTAACCATGGCAACACCGTTCATCGAAATCAAAAACCGATATACAGAATTACGTATCTAAGTGTATTCTACTTGTGTGCCAAGTAATACTGAAATCAGACCAAAACTGTAGGAGGAGAAGCATTTTGAAAGAATTTCACAGAAATTTCTATTTTTAGTAACCACGGCAACACCGTTCATCGAAATCAAAAACCGATACAAAGAATTATGTATCTAAGTGTATTCTACTTGTGTGCCAAGTAATACTGAAATCAGGTTAAAACTGTAGGAGGAGTAGCATTTTGAAAGAATTTCACAGAAATTTCTATTTTTAGTAACCATGGCAACACTGTTCATCGAAATCAAAAACCAATACACAGAATTATGTATCTTAGTGTAGTCTACTTGTGTGCCAAGTAATACTGAAATCAGACCAAAACTGTAGGAGGAGTAGCATTTTGAAAGAATTTCACAGAAATTTCTATATTTAGTAACCACGGCAACACCGTTCATCGAAATCAAAAACCGATATACAGAAATATGTATCTTAGTGAAGTCTACTTGTGTGCCAAGTTATATTGAAATTAGACTAAAACTGTAGGAGGAGTAGCATTTTGAAAAATTGTTTACAGACAGACGGACAGACGGGCGGACGCCGGACGCATTACTATCGCATAAGCTCTTCTGGTCTCTGACCAGTAGAGCTAAAAACAAGAAAGACATTGAGACTTTAGTTTCAGCTAATCAGAGCGAAGCGCACGTGCATGCGCGTGAGATCTTGTTATTTTGACCATGTCATCACATCTATACTACTATTATATACTTATATTATGAGTATCAACGCATTTCATTAAAAATTGGAAAAATTACGGCAAAACACATTATATTGGTCATTTCTTTTGTTGCACGTGCACGCTCTTGCAAGCACGTGCGCGCAAAATGACCTTCGTTCGGCAAATCTACACAACATGTCTACTGATCCTAAAAACATTTTACCTTAGTCGGATGTGTAGTTTACTAGATCATTCGTGGACAAAATTTTCCCAGGAAGAAGAAAAATAATAATAACTAGATGCGATCTCGTTGCGAGCAACGAGTAGGTCTTCCGTCCGAATTTTCGATAAGATGAGATATGACTTTGACTATGATCTTTGATAAAACATCATGGAATCATGCTTTTTCTCTTTTGATTAAATCCTTTTGATTTAGATAATATCATCAATGCGTACTTAATTTGCACATTAATTCTTTTCTTTTTTCTACTTTGAGAAACAACCAAAACCAATTAAAGAAAACTTGTAAGGAGACCTTGGATTATGAATGTAGTTTGACACAGAATTGCAACGAACCTACGACGTGACAATCCAAGTATCCCTACACATTTCATTGCTCCTTATGTTACTTTCGTTCAAGCAAACGCTCGGCTGCCTCTGTTAACCGCTATTGCGAAATGTCGGAATTGACAGAGACCGCCGCCAATTAGTTCCCGCTTCAGAATTTTGAATGTTATCTCGAGTTTGAATTCATAAATTTACAAACGAATTATATATTCAGCCTAATAAGAAATGTTTCTATCAACTATACTAATATCATTTGAAAATATTGAAAAACAAAAAAATTAGAGACGAGAGACTTTTGGCCCCTCTATGCCCCTAATTTGAAGAACTAACCCCGTTTAATTGATATCAAATGAAAGGTCTTACTATATTGCACATTTTTTATTATATATGTCCTGACAAAATATTAACAGGTAAAAAGATATAAAAGAAAACGTGTCAATTTTTGCGAGATGAGTATGAGGCTATTTTTCGAGACCAGGCGAGCGTCGATGCCTTCTTACCTGGAAAGCTCTATATGCAAAATGTCACATCTACTATCCTTCCTCTACCTTCACTGAAAATGTCAAGTCGATATCTTAAGTCGTTTAGGAGGAGATCTCAGGACAAGCTGACCCTCTAAAAATAAGTAAATCGTCCATATCTCACGACCGGAAGTGACGACGT